TAATTTGCTTCTATAACTATCACTCGACTCGAGAGTGCAATCTCGATTTTTTGGTAGAATAAGCCGGGATTAATAGATGTATCTCAATTGGTCAAGAGTTGACCCAATTGAAAACATCTATTAGAGCTTGGGTCATGTGAGTCCAATTAGGTCCCTCTCTTGGCTCCAATAAAAGGTGTGTGACTTAATTGGCCTACTAAAATAAAGTTTAAGGAAATTTGTGCAATTTTAAAACCTAATAGTTCATTATAAATATGCACTTTATTGGCATATTTTAAATGAGAATTAGGGTTAGCCACTTTTCACATTCCCCAAAAAGAAATAATACCTAGTGGAGAACAAGGGAGAATATCTAAGGAAGGAAGTAATTGGCTAGGCCATTAATAGCTTCTTCAAAAAGGTTATCATCTCCCCTTTCTATATATGTGAGGATTTTATAATCCAATGATCCCAAGGTCAATTAAATCCTTATTTACATGATTTTAATTTTCAAAGGAAAATTAATTTCATATTATGATAATTAAAATTCATTAACCAACACCGATGTCCATCCCTAATCTTGATCCTAATACTCTTTAATGTGATGAAGCATATTAAAGTTGATAAAGTAAATTTTCATGCGTGACAATTTTTGTCCGGAAAAGTATTCCCTTTCTTTTTTCTTTTTTTTTGGCGAGTAAGATGCGTTACCCATGATACTTAGGAAACAAGTTCTCAAAGAAAGGAATCCACATACAATTCTGTAGAAGAGTACGAAATACAATTCTGTAGAACAGAATAAGAAAAAGCTGAAAACAGCATCCCAACGCATTATTTGTCTTTACTTTGCAGAGAACTTTAATAAAGCAGAAAAAAATATTCTGTAGTTGATTATGACAATTGTAGTAACATGTCTACCTAGGATTCCTATGTTGGTATTACATATAAAGGATTGTTTTCACACTCCAAAAACAATCTAAAAGACTAAATCTATGTCATCAACAATGAGAAGAAATGCAAGATCAATGGGAGAGGCAGCCCGTAATGGGTTTGTTCGACGAATGGTAAACCTTCCTCGAAGCATACTAGGAGAATTTTCTCGAGCGATGGGGCAAGGAATAGACCTCGTCACACAAGGACGACGAAGAAACTACTATCAATCGCTAAATTTCCCGTCCCAAAATCCACATTATCCCATAGCAGATCCATTAGACTTCCATCCACAGGAACCTCCCATGGTTCAAGAAGAATGGGCTTTTCTAGCTAAATTTGAGGAGCAGTATGGTACACTGCACCCCTTTTTCTACGCCTGCCGATTGATGGAAGCACTAAAAATAGCTGCTGATGAGCATAAATTCTTGTTCATGTACATCCATTCACCAGAACATCCATTTACACCCCCTTTTTGTAGGGAAACTTTGTGTTCTGAGGTGGTGGTACAATTTCTTGATGCAAATTTTGTTTCTTGGGGTGGACTTTCTAATGGAGGAGAGGGTTTACAAATGGCTACGACTTTAAGGGTTTCTAGCTTTCCATTTTGTGCAGTGGTGGCTCCAGCTTCTGGTGATAGTTTAGCTGTGCTGCAACAGGTGAGTTGATTTTTACTATCACTAATAAGTATTGTTGTTGACGTCAAAATCCGCCAACAGTTCAGTTGTGCGAGAATTATCTCTGAAACGGTTTAGATTAAGTACAACATCCTTCTTACTTGTGCTTAGTGAATCATAATTCGAGTAGTTGACCCTAGATTTATTGTTGGTTGGAAATTTAAGAAATGCAAAAATTGCTCATTTTGCCTTCGCTTGTGTAGATGGAAGGTCCAGTCTCCCCCGCTGAATTGGTGGGAATACTACAAAGGACAATAGAAGAGCAAGGTTTGGCTTTTGGGAGTGATAGAGGTAAGGAGGACGAAAAGAAAAACGCCGATCGTCGATTGAGGGAAGAACAAAATGCTGCCTATCTTGCAGCATTGAAGATAGATCAGGTGCATATATTATTAATTTATTATATTATTCAGTCATGTCCCGTGACAAACAATCACTGAACTTTACCTTTGTTTAGGAGAAAGAAAGACTCGGAAGTTCAAGTTCAGGGAATAAAGTTCCAAAACATGTAGATTCTTCAAGTAAATCAAACCAAGATAAACCCAAACAAAAAATCATGGAGAAACAACAGAGTAAAGTGAAAGAAGGCAATGCAAGTGGAGGAAAGAAGGCTGAAGTAACACAGGTACATGGTTATGTGCTAAATACGAAGAACACGTTTGGCTAAGATTTGAACATGTTACATTTTTCTTACTGTGATTCTTGCACAGCTCTTAATACGATTTCCGAATGGGGAGAGGAGGGAGCACAGTTTCTTGTCGACAGACAAGATTCAAGAAATTTATAGATATGTCGATTCATTAGGCCTGCCCGGAGTTGGAAATTACAGGTTGATATCAAACTTCCCTAGAAAGGTTTATGGTGTTGATCAGATAGGAATGACTCTCAAAGATGCTGGCCTACTTCCTAAAGCAAGCCTCTTTCTAGAACTTCTTTAGTATTTTACACTTGTTGGATCTATTAATTAACGAAGTCACTGCTCATGAGTCGATGCTCATTCATCAAGGATATGTTGGTGCCTATCATGTTATAGGATAGCTTACAACTTCATGTTCTATTTCAAAGTTTAACGCTAATTGGAAATTACAGGTTGATATCAAACTTCCCTAGAAAGGTTTATGGTGTTGATCAGATAGGAATGACTCTCAAAGATGCTGGCCTACTTCCTAAAGCAAGCCTCTTTCTAGAACTTCTTTAGTATTTTACACTTGTTGGATCTATTAATTAACGAAGTCACTGCTCATGAGTCGATGCTCATTCATCAAGGATATGTTGGTGCCTATCATGTTATAGGATAGCTTACAACTTCATGTTCTATTTCAAAGTTTAACGCTAATTGAATGAGAATTTTAGTGCATTGCAGCTGGAATCTTATATAATTGCTGTTTCACTTTCCCTAGAAGTCAATTTGCTGCAATAATTTGTGCTTACTTTTTTAACTTTGTCTCGAAGGATAAATTCTCTCTTGCTCAACTTTTTAATATAAAATCATATCTAGAGGTATAGATTCGGACTAAACTGTTCACGTTCAATTTTCCGTCTCCAAGCCCGGCATGGCTCGAGACAGGCTAGTCCATGGGCCAATCTGTATAAAGTGAGTTGTGTCGACCTAGCTCTCCAGGTCCATGCAAGTCTTGTCTATGATTTGCTCATATTTATAAAATCAATCTTTATTTTTCTTGCAACTTCGACAAGATTCATGTGGAAATTGTACCAAAAAATATACTATAGTTTATATAAAATCATCGTACTACTTTATTCTCCATCTAAATTAAATCTTAATTAAGGAATTATGGACCAACCTGTACAAAATTCAAACAAATTTAATAAGCCAGAACTATTAAATGGTCATAATGTAACATAACATTTTTTTCCATCAACTAATGCATAGATTATGGCTAAGATAGAACCTAGTTTCGATAAATACATTTTATGCATATTTAGTATACAATTTCAGATCAAATTAAAAAAATATATAATAAATAGAATTTCAACATCTTATTTTTTTCATAACATGGTCTTGTTATATTCAATGACCTTACCAAATATCATATGAATAATGTTATTTGTAGTCGATCACTGTCGTAGTCGTATATGTGGCGATTAGTGATCTGACATATTAATGTGACGATTTTTTTATTGCCTCATATATCAAATCACTAATCACCACATGTATGTCATGTAAGGTAACTATAATAGTGAACGATTGCAAATAAAATTATTCATATCGTATTCATGTTTAAATCATTCGGTGATACATGTACACTTTTGGTGCACATAATGCATTACACTGTCGCATATAATTTATTGCAATAATATTATGTGTACATCATTATGGTGTACATATAAGGAGGATGCAATGTTTTGTGTACATATAGTATTGTCCAATTTATTGTATGTGGACTCACCTCCATGTTCTATGGAAAAAAATTATCCTGAAAGGCAAGAAATAGCCTTTCTCATACATTTTTACTAAAATAGATAAAAAAAAAAATAATTTAACCGTTATGAGCATTAGTCTGACTACAATTAATTTTAGCCCTTGTTTGAGACATATTCCTTTGGAAAAATGCATTTTTAAACAGTTTTTGACATAATTTCAACCACCTATTTTTTAATAAAATAACATTACATGTAAATTTAATATTTTTTTCGTATTTTTTAACCACGCATTTACCATCAATACAATATTCAAAAATGTATTTTTCCTTCAAAAATAGGGCTCAAACAATTACTTAGCCCTTGTTTGAGCCACATTATTCTCAAAAAAATACATTTTGAATAGTGTATTGATAGAAAATGTGTGGTTAAAGAATAAGGAAAAGTTTTTGATTTACGTGTAATATTATTTTATTAAAAAATGTGTGATTGAAATGATGTCAAATTACTGTCTAAAAATGTATTTTTTCAAAAAAATGTGGTACAAATAGGACCTTAATAATATTTTTTATGGGACCAAAATTTTTTAACTATATATTTTATTAACTTTTATTAAAATTTAATAAAAAAATTGATCTAATCCCTACCAAACAGGGGTTAATTATCAATATTTTGAAAGTCGGATAGAGTATCAGGTAAAAGTAACAGATCAAGGGTCAAACTGTTGAATCAAACAGGTAATAAAAAATAATTTAAAAATAAGAATGTAAATAATTTATATTCAACTCTGATTTTATCCTCAAAGTATGAGACTCAGCTTATAAACCATACCAAACAAGCACCCCGTGCGCACCGAAAAGGGTAGATCTCTACTCTCCCTCTTTCCCACACGCGCATATATTCTCTGACACAGTGACAAGAGCCCACAGAGAATAGAAGAAACTGATAAAATGGCTTGCTGCCTGCGGTTGCGGCCTCCACCCGGTCAACCTTTCGATCTCGTTTCAATTAATCTCAAGAAGCACATTAAAATTGCTAAGCTCTGCATTCGCAATTGTGCTGCAAACCCAGAAAACACGAACAAGGTACACTCACTTGCATTTTCCTGTTAAGTATGTCCCATTGTTGTAGTTGTTGTTGCTCTGACGATGATGATGACCATGTTTGTTTCTTTTCTGTATTCTTCCCGGTTTATTATTATTTGAATGCTGAAAAGAGTTAGCTGATGAGAATGAGAAGTCGAATATGGAATTCATCTATTTGACAGCTTTCAGCTTACCCAAACATGTTTAAACAAGAATCAGTCTGTGATTTCTAACTGTGGAATACAGCTTAAATGTGTTAGGGATAATAAGAATGCGCTAGGTTGTAGAATATGTAAAGGGAATTGGTTTTATTCTCTAGAAAGATCTGATCAAGGATCTGAGTATTTATTTTGAATATAATGAATTGCAAGGTAGTACTAAAGTTTTTATCATCTTTCTTGTCAAGGAGATGGCTACTTATTGAAATCATTTAAAGCAGAACAGAAACTGAAAGCAAAAGGAATCGAATATATATTTATCCAATTGTGGACTAGTTCAATTACTAAACACTCTCACTTGTGAATTATCATCCATACACTACTTCGTAGGGGAACTCCTCTTTTGCAAGCAAAACAGATCTTCAGTGTGTAATATTTCAGAGCTTTCTGCGCGTTTTCTTTAAGCAAGCAAAATCATCTCAAAGTAGTTAACAATATTTTACAGACTGTAATAGGATGTTTGCTGAAGGAAACAACCATGCTAGAAATAATTATATACGAGTTAGCCACAAGTCTAGAAAAAATATTAATATTCATTCTTTAAAGCGTATAATGTAAAAGTTAAATGTGCCTATCTGATTCCAAGGTTAAATAACAGAAAATGTACATTTTAAACTGCTGAGACTTCTATTATATAAGGCTGATAAAGAAAGAAGATAATAAGCTGGAGATTACTTTTAAATAAATCCTTCATGATGAGTTATCTCAAGATTCAATCCTTTATAGTTTCTTTCAATATATTGTGCATACAGTATCCAGAAAGGGAAGTGTTTGTCACAACCGAATACTTTGATGAAGTCTTATGGGTAGTCATGCTTTGAAATAATGCAGCTAGTGGTTGAAGTCAAAGAGAGGCTTGAAAAGGAACACAGTTATCTCCCTGTGGGCAAAAATGGAAGAGACGATGAAGAGTTGATCCTATGGTTTCTGAAGGACCGGAAATTTTCTGCTGAAGAGGCTATCTCCAAATTGGCCAAAGCCATTGTAATTGTGATATAGTCTCTGATTATTCTACCTCAACTATGATCTAACAAGTTATTTTATAAGAGTCCAGTCTCCTTGTCTAGTAAATGTGGAAAAACTTTCTCAGGGCCGGCTTTTGTTGCTTCTTTTTCTTTCTTTTCTAATCTCCATTGCCAGGTTGCATTTTTTCCTTTAATTTTTGGTTGCTTATACAGATTTTCTTTGGCACCAAGAAAAGCCAATATTTAAGTGTCAATAAGCCTCAGTTGCACTTCTCTCTAGATTGCGGTCCCATTGTTCAACTTACACGTTTACATTTTCTCAAATGATGTTAATAGCAGATATATTTTTCTTATGTATATTCTCCTAAAATTTTCTTTCTATTTTTGTCAGAGATGGCGTCACGAATTTGGTGTGTCAGAATTGTCAGAAGAATCAGTCCAATGTGTAGCTGAAACAGGAAAAGCTTATGTGCATGACTATCTTGATATATATAACAGGCCAGTGCTAATAGTGGAAGCATCCAAGCATTTCCCTGAGGTAGTTCTGCGTTGGTCAATATGGTACATAGAACATAAAATTTACCTACCTAAGTTACTGCCAAAAAATCAGCATTAAATTATAACCCTATTTCTTGCAGTGGAAAATCTCCATTCATAAACTTTTACATTCTTCTAAATCAAGTGGATAGTTGCCAATGAATTATCAGCTTCTATAAAACATTACTACAAATATCTAGATGTAGTTCTTCCCTCAATAGTTTAGGTCAATGATAATCAAGCTATTAGCTACTGTGGGTAACTGCAGTGTCGAAATACTTCGGGATAACAACCTCTAGGCGTAGTGCTTAATTAATGGTAGTCTTGTCTACTTTTCCCTTTCACTCTTCTCTACATGCTTCCTCTCTATTGCACAGTAGCATGTTGCTGGATGCCATCAGCTGCAGGCTGGTTGCTTAGCTGCTGCAGTTGGCTGCTTCTATTTTTCTTTTCTTCCACGTTATTTCATTAATACTTAAGACTTACATTAAGTATGTCGCTCAGAGAAGTAATTTCAAGGCAGGATAATAGCTGGATGATATATTCGTGAATTGAATGAATATAAAACAAAGTGAAGCTACACGAAATACTTTCCAGAATGAGAACCAGATACTGAAAAACTATCTTTTTCATGTCTATTGAAACAGTTTATTTGCTTTTAACTAAATGGTTTTTTTATAGAATGTACTTTTGTTTCAAAATTTGAGACTTTATGCATGGTTATAGTTGGGCAATTCCATTGTTTCATGGTTTTTATGGATTTTTTTAAGTATCCATTTTGAGGCTTACATCTATTAATACATGGAATCAACTCTATCTTGTGGGCTTTGGCCATCATTGTCAGGAAATTGGAGAAAAAAATTATTTTATACTTGAGCTTTTACTCCAATAGTCCAAAATATACTCAGTTTGAAACTATTTCCGTCTTGTTAAATTTTTCCTCTTGTGGTCTCTATAAATTCGTGTCACAATATGGATGTATGTTTCTAGTTGATAGTGTAATAGTCTTTTGTCATGATGAGGAAATGTGTCAACTATGAAGCACCGACACGGACACGTGTTTTCGACACAATATGTATTGTATTCTCCGACACATGAATTTTTAAAAAAGTAATGACACGACACGCTGATTAAATTCTTTAAAACTCTTCATTAATATAGTATAAATTTAGTTTTATACTTGTTATTAACTATTTTTGTTGAAATCTTTTAAATGAGTATATATTTGTTATTTATTAATAACTTTGAGTTAAAACATATAATATTTAGTAAAAAAAGAATAATGATTATGATAAAGTATTCGAGAAATGTCGTTACAGATATGTGTCGGGCACGGACATACTCCCCTAGTTGAAGTGCTTGTGTCACAGAGTGTGATAGCATCTACATTAGTTCTTTTGTGAAATTTCAATTCTTTTTTAAAAAATATTATTGAGAATTGAGCTTCGATATTGATGGTATTCTTCATATACCTGTATGTAGGAGCATGAATATCATGATGATGAGAGGCTCTGTGTTTTTCTGATTGAGAAAGCTCTGAGAAAACTACCAGATGGGAAGGAGGAAATACTAGGAATATTTGATCTGCGAGGATTTGGGATGCAAAATGCAGATATTAAATTCCTAACTTTCCTGGTAATTTCCATGACCTATACTATCAGGCTCAGCTGGCAATTTCTTTCACAATGATTGATTTAAATTTAAATTTTATCAGATAAAGTCATCTCAAGGGTTAGCTAAGAAAATTTAAATTCCTTAAACATTCCTGGTAATTTCCATGGCCTATACTATCAGGCTCAGCCTGCAATTTTTTCCACAATTATTGATTGAAATTTTAATTTTATCAGATAAAATCATCTCAAGGGTTGGTTAAGAAAATTGAATAAAATTAATGGACATTTCTTTACTTCCTCTTTAATGCTGCTTCGAGAGAAATATGAGTTGAGTTTACTGATTGCACTGTCACTGATGACACTACAACATGGTGCATTTTGTTCCTACATATTTACTGATAATCATTTGATTGATGCTGTCAGATGTTGTCAAATCTTGTAGCACGGATAGGCCTTGGGCATGTTCTAAGCTTAAAAGTTACTTTTTAGCGACTCTTTTTGCCAAATATGTTTGAGGTTTTTTAAAGGTTATTTATTTTTTGGATTTCAGTGCAAAATTTTGCTTTTCAAGCTTAGCTAAACATATGCTCAAATTGTCAGCTCAGAAGATTTCTCATATTTATTGTTATTGGTTGAATCTTCATATTATTACTCGATAAAGTGGCCTGTCTATGTTCTTCTGAATGTTGAATTGCAATAGCAGAGTTTCTTGCCAACAGCATAATGGATAATGTAAGCTCACTTTCTCCATTTTGAACAGTTTGACGCGTTTTACTACTACTATCCAAGGCGATTGGGTGAAGTCCTTTTTGTGGAAGCTCCTTTTGTATTCAAGCCAGTTTGGCAGCTGGCAAAGCCGCTCCTAAAATCATATGCTTCATTGGTAAGGATTAAATTATCTATTCAATTCTTGGTTCTGAAAGTTTTTTCTGTTTCACGTTATAGTACGCTTCTACATCTTTGCTTCTAGTTACTCTCTGCCGCTGCTGCTTCATGCTGTTAGAGTTTGACCTCAAATCTATTTCTCGTTTTTACGGGATTAAGAGAGGAGTACTTAACTTTTGAGCTAATCTAAACATACGCCTAACTTAAAAGTTAATTCTAATTGGTTTTTTTAATGAAAAGCAAGACTGACTTTTCTAGCAAGTACTGTTAGCCGAAATTGATTAAAATGAAGAGCATTTAATAGAAGTTGCTCGTTTTGATCATTTTCTCAGCCTTCTTCACTTTTACATGGTTCGATGTGACTCATTGCTAATGTTTTGTAGGTGAGATTTTGCTCAGCGAAGACTGTAATAGATGAGTATTTTACAGCAGAGACCATCCCCTCTAACTTTAAAGAATGAACGTACAAAGATGTGCAGTGGAATGGAAGGCTTTGAGAGTGTTATGGTGACGGATGCAAATATTTTGAGTTAAGGGGACATAATCAAACCTTGTACAAATTAAATACTTTATTTTTTATTTTTAAATAATTCATACTTGACTCGAAAAAATAAAGATTTAGGTTTAAAAAACACCCCTTCATTAATATTTTGGTCATCATTTTCATCAGTCTGATTTCGAACGGCCTTTTTATTAATATTTTGCTCATCACAATAGAATGCACATTTACGTTTAAAGAACTTATAATGTATTTAAAATTTTGATACAAACAATAAATTAAAACGATCAATTCAAGTAATTGAAATGAAAAAATATATAACAAATATTCAATAATAATAATAATCAATCAAATAAAAAGTTCAAATTTTTGTGATTTTGTCTCTGTTGGTAGGGATTAGAATTATATTTTTAGTAGATTTTGATAAAAGTTAAAAAGTTGTGGGTCTTCTAAAATATTCTATTAAAATTAATTGTTAATTTTGTTTTAGATTAAAATTAAAATTTTAATTCATACTAAACATGACTTTATTTAAAAAATAAAAAAATCCCAATGAATGGTCATGAATATGGTCAAGGTTGTGTTCAGGGGCAAATCTTGGGGTTGAGTTCAACTAGGGCGGATCGCGAGCGTTGAAAGTTTACTATCGATGGCCAAAGTCCGTGAGAGCGAGGATGTTTATTAATATTTAATTGAGTAATATTCAAAAAATCATGCGGGTTAGAATTAAATATACTACTAGAACTAGTAACTAGGTACGAATTTTCATTTTGGATGAAAAAATTGTTTTATAATCTGGAAAATATCATAATTTATTTTTCGATTAAATAGGCAATATATATTAACAAAATGTCAATATGCAGTGTACAATTAAAGTTAATTAATAAGTATTATTATATTAACAAAATTGAAATTATTTATGTGTTTATCTCAATTTTATGTGTTTGTATGATTTCACTTTTTCGCAATCAATTTTTTGTAAACAAAAAGTGGAACCTTTTATTAATTAAATAAGTTTTGTTGGAAGATTTCTTATGCCACTAAAGCTAATATTTCTACAAATTCATCCATTATTAATTGACCAAACTCTCAAATCAATTTATTAGAGAGGAAAAAGGGAAAAGAAAATAAAAAAAGGGACAAAGTACTGATTAAAATGTTTCTACTTACATTTAAACCTGTAAAATTGAACATGTATTATTTTGTTACATTATATGTTAAAAATCAATAAGTGTCATGATAGTAAAGTGGTCTACGTTTAAGAAATGTTGCAGGTTCGAATCAGATTCCTTGCATAAAAATTGATGAAATACAAAAATTATAGCTCTTGAAGATTTTGAGCACAGAACCTTCAATTTAATAGTAGAACAATTAACTAGTTGAGCTGTCAAAGATGTTTGTTGTTGATATGAATTATCAAATATATAATATAAAAATTCTATCTATTATCAACAAAAAAAATTTTCCCAGACAAATCCAGTTAGGACGGCCATCACCTAGGTCCGTCACTAATTGTGCTACTCGAACATGGCCACCTCGGCTCTGTTCGAACGGGGTCGAGGTGGCCTTGTTTGAGTAGCTTTATTCATACGGTAAGCATTGTAGAAAATTAATCTTTGTTTAAATAGAATCTGACAATATGTTGTAAGTATGATCGATATTTCGTACCGAAAATCATTGAGAAATAAAAAATCAGCCGGTCAACATGTCATTAGTACCTTAAACTTGAAGATTAGACAATAATATAAGAACAAAACTTAAGTGAAAAGCTTCATCAAGATAAAAATTTCGACTAAATCCATCTTAAAAGGGCTTGGGTACCTTAATCTGATTGTAATAAACTATGAAGAGAAGGATTAAAAGTGCAGCAAATACAAATATAGGGGAAGGTACCATTTCCTAGATTATCAATGTCAAAATGCCATTCTCTTGCTTTTTCTAGCTTGCTCTACTATTTCTTTGAAGCTTGCTTTTCTTTGATGGAAATTGCAAATCGGGGAAAAATGACCCTACCCTTTTCCCGTTTTACGTATTTTATCCAAATTTTAAATTTTGGTGTCAATGGTTCCAAATCTTTACATTATTGGAACAATTGATCCTTTTGAATAGATTTCATTCAGTTAGTTAAACATCGTACTTATTGTAAAGGTAAATTGTATATGTAGTCCTAACTTTGACGAAAAGAATAATTTTGCTTTTAACCAACTTTGAAGAGAGTAACTTAAAACGTAGGAATTAATAATAAAAACATTAACAAATGCGATAAAATGAAAAAGAACCAAGGTTGAGTCCCCGATTTTGAAATGTCCAGAAACATCCTCTCCGGTTAGAAAAATTCGTCCTCAAATTTCAAAGAGCGAGAACAAATTTCAGCAACGTATAAAATTCGACAATACAATATGTTATATTAAATTTAGAAAAAAGCCAAGTGTACATGCTTTTCCGTTACAAATTCTTTACATTACATACTCGATCAGTATTTATTTTTGACAATTGCGAATCAAATCTTGACAAGTGTGCATTTGTAAGAATTTTGGCAAAAAAAATTTGTATGTGTAGGTTAATTCTTAAATTTATTATTTACATTGACAAGGAAGGTTCTAATGATTAAAAGGTAAGACTGAAATCTCTTGTCAACTTTATTTATAGTCTATCAACAATGCATGTATAATTCGAAATTTGTGTAAACAAATTTTTTGATAGCAATTTTGAGGTGAAAATAATACATAATCGAAAAAATCATTTTTTTTTCCAAAATTAAATAAGTTACTTATCTTGTTCGTTAGGATTTTGTGAAATTCATAAAATATGTGGTTAAAATTAAACTCTTGTTTGAGCCACATTCTTATCAAAATTCTTTTTAACCACACAATATTCAATAAAATACTATTATACGTAAAAAAAAAAATCCTTATTTTTCAACCACACACTCTCTAAAAAATTACTATTTCAAAACACATTTTTAACTCAAAACGGGGCGGTTAAATATTGACTTTGACTTAGTCTCCAAATAAGAAGTTACTAATCTATAATATATTAAAGTATAATATTAAGGGAGAATCATTTTTTGAACGATTTTAACCCCTTACAATTTAATTATTACAATAATATCTTACTTTTCACTTTGATATATAATAAATAATACATATTATTGTTGTTTATGAAATTTGTGTTATTAATTCTCAATTAATTAACATTCACATTAATCTAGATTCAATAAATTTTTACTTGATCAATCTTGAATTATATGAATATAGAGTTATTAAAGATGAATTTATTCATATTCATGTATCTAGAAATTTTAATGAGTGTTTAAATTTATGTATTAACAATTAATTTTTATGTATCAAATATAATATAAAAAATTGCTCATTTATAATATTTCATCATTAGAAAAAACTTGAATCATATAAATTGAGTTTTGGATGTACAATTTGAGTACAATTTTCTCCTCTTAAAACTCTATGCTAAATTTTATTTTATTTAATTCGTTCGAAATTCATCAAATTCTCCAACAAATTCGTACCATATATTATTTTTACATTACTTATAAAATATTACGTTGAACTTTGACTAATTTATCTAAATGTGCCATAAGATAAAAAGCTACTTTACATCTCTTCAAGCTTTACAAACACTCCGTCAACAACGGCTTGTTAACAGGCGGTCCTTCCCTCTCTACATATCTCTTCGATCCCATCTCGCCACTGTCGTCGTACAAATACACGCAGGCGCGCGGCCGGGCGAACACAGGAAAACACACACGCACGCATACATCTCCCTCTCCCTCTATATATATACGCATATATATACATATCTATAAATACATCTTTATATCTGCTTTTTTTGGGATAACAACTTGCTAGTCGGAACGTTGTATAGATTCCACGCCCTCTGTCTGGTTCGCTCTCTATCTCAACATGTAAACATACATGTTATACTTTTATTCTATTTATATAAAAATATTCACCTAATTTTCACTCAAAATAGTTAGGGTTTCAAAAAATACGGTATTTACTATCGTAATGAAAGAGATGGAGACAGACGTGTGTGGTATACGTTTTTTTTTATTTCTCCAGTTTTCTTTCGTAGGTAACATGCGTGAAACCTTGTGTATTTTTAATTACTTGCCATCGTAAATATTTTGAACTGGGTTTTTATTTTTTGTGGGTAAATGGTTATTCATTACAAGGTTTAAAAAACAACTGCTCCATGGAAACAGTACACTTGGTATACAATTGGCTAGGAATTGAATTCACACGGCACAATGTTACCATATGTACATAGGATTTCTTTTAATTTTTAAATTGATTGTGTATATTATGCAACTCTGTATTGTTGTTCATGTTCATTTTTAATCTGTAATTTTAATTTGCTTTTTCTAATGGAAAAGTAGGCTTGAGGTTCCGAACTTGAGTGATGGAATGAGATACCGAACCTGATGTTTGTGTATGCATGGGGCATTGCAGTGGCTATACGATGATTGAAAAATGGATTATTTTTTGATTTTGCTCTCTTCGGGAAGTTGAAGCGATTATTTTTGTTTAAATACTTAGCGGCTATACTATTACTTGTGATACAATATATGCTGATATTGCTAATTTTTTACTCTATTTGGTTAAGGACAAAGGACAGGTGGCATTAGTTACATTGTTACCACTAGGCTACAAGTTAGGTGTACTGGGAAGTCACTGAAAAGACTTAATTTGGACAGTGAAAAGTATTGTTGAAAAGGAATAACAATTTACATAATGGGGTTATATACTTGTGAACTGTGATGTCCGCTGAGTTGTAGGCATCTTACTTGTAACTGTCACCTATTATCGTAGAGTTAAAAATAAAGATAAATTTTTGAGTGTTTTGAAAAATTAAGAATTGACAATTCTTTTTGTACAAGCTTGTGTTCATGCATCTATTGAGATTTAGTATTCAGTTGATTCACGCTGTTTGCCATCGAAAGGCTTGCCAAAGGTCTAGTCCAAGTGAGTTATGAGGAAAATTTAACATATGACGAAGTTATTTCTAATGACAGTGATAATTTGAGTCTACAGTGATGCTTAGTGGTTTAAAGGGCCGATTGCATTTCTTAGACTAAAATAACACACATGTTCTGTTTTAGTTGTTAATGATTTTTTAGATCTTCCTATACGTCTAACAACGTACCTAATAGAGTGACAAAAATGATTCTTACAATCAACCCTAAATCTATTGGGAGCACGACTTAATCCATCGTTGTTGTTAACAATGATGCGTAAAAGTAGATAATTTTTGGTGAAGTGGATGGATAATCAAGGTTAAATCATTGGCTTCGGGGATAAGTGGTGTCATTGGATTCAGTTTTGTATATCTACAGTTTCTTTTTCAGTTATGGTGAACGGCAGTCCGGAGGGTTATTTTCGTAGTAGTAGGGGATTGAGGCCAGGGGATCCTTTGTCTTCATTACTATTTGTCATTGTAATAGAGGCTTTCAGCAGGATGCTTAAGAAGGCTATGGGAGAAGGTTTGTTAAGGGGCTTTATGGTTGATCAGCTGCAAGTATCTCATATGCTATTTGCAGACGATACATTGATCTTTTGTGATGCAGATGTTCAGCAATTCAGGAACCTACGTCGTGTGCTCTTGTGCTTTGAAGCCGTATCTGGATTGAAAATAAATTTGGGAAAATTTGAGGCTATCAAAGTGGGAGAGGTCGATAATGTGGAGGAGTTGGCTGCTATTTTGGGTTGCAGGGTTGCAGAACTGCCTATGACGTATCTTGGTCTTCCTTTGGGAGCATGGTTTAAGAGTAAACATATTTGGAATAGTATTATAGAAAAGATGGAGAGAAGGCTAGCGGGTTGGAAGCGTATGTACCTCTCAAAGGCGGTTGTCTTACTCTCATAAAGTCCACATTGTCGAATTTCCCTACTTATTTCTTATCATTGTTTCCTATCCTTGTTGTAGTGGCAAAAAGGTTAGAAAGGATCCAAAGGGAGTTTCTTTGGGGAGGTTTAGGGGAGGAGAGGAAATTACATTTGGTTAATTGGGGTGTAGTTTGTTCTCCCATAAGGTTAGGGGGTCTTGGATTGAGGAGCATCATACTGTTCAATAAGGCCTTGTTGGGCAAGTGGTTGTGGCGATTCGGTGTGGAGAGGGAGAGTTTTTGGAGAGAAATAATAGGTGCAAAATATGGTGTCATGGAGGGAGGATGGTGCTCAGGTGAGAATTGTGATTCTTATGGGGTGAGCTTATGGCGATATATCCGGCGAAGGTGGAGCGATTTTCAGGATAGATTGACTTTTGCAGTGGGGAATGGTATTACCATCAATTTTTGGGATAATTATTGGTGTGGAGAACAACCGCTGAAGGTAAAATTTCCCTCTTTATCTCGTATTGTGTTGACACCGTTTGCTACGGTGAGTGATGTCTTAGATATACATAATGGGAGGATCAGTTAGAATATTGTTTTTGGCCGGGGATTACAGGATTGGGAATTAGACTATTATGCGCTATTTTTGACTTCTTTGTACGAGGTCCGCATCAGAACAGGAGAGGTAGACTGTAGTAGGTGGAGATTGACACGGGATGAGATTTTCTCAGTTGGCACTTATTTTAGATCTTTATTGGGTCCTGTGCAGAGTTCATTCCCTTGGAAATCGGAGTGGAAATGTAAATTGCCTCCACGGGTTGCATTCTCACTTTGGATGGTGGTCAGGGGACAGGTGTTAACGATGGATAATCTACGACCAAGAGGTTTTTATGTTACAGAGTGATGTTACATGTGTTGGAGGGACGGGGAGACGATTGATCACTTGTTTCTCCTTTGTGATGCTGCTCGTTTACTGTGACACAATATTTTGGCATCACAACACATGGATTGGTTGATGTCGAGGCGTATGGATGACGTGTTAAAGGCATGGAGGAGAAAATTTCGTGACTAGGATTGCAAGTTTGCATGGGACCTTATTTCGGGTTGCATTGTATGGTGTTTTTGGGGAGAAAGAAACAGCCGCTGCTTTGATGAACAAACACGGACAACAGAGCAAATTAGAGAAATGTTCTATTTCACATTGTATACGTGGTTTAATGCTGCAGCCACTAGGCATATAGATGGGCTGCCCAATTTTATGTTGTTCCTTTCTGCTTTAAATTGATAATACACTTCCCGTGTATTATGCATTGATTAATAAAATATTTGATTACCTTTAAAAAAAAAAAAAATCATTGGCTACCACTACCCAATCCAAGGTTTTGCACAGTTGATGTTCCAACTCTTCTTTGGGTGCTTGCAAATTTGCATGTAATAGGAGGGGTTCAAGAAGGGAGAGTTGCCTCACATTGTGCTGTTCACAATGTTGGAACATCACCTTTTGGTTTTTAGATGTAGCTATTTTATCTATAGAATTCTCCCTCTTTTCATGCTTTAAGAACCACCACCCGAGTTCTTTAATTTGAATAGGTGCAAAAGTTTTCTAGCATGGTATCTTGGAGCGTTGTTTAAAACTTGTTGAGACTACTTGAGCCCCATTAAAAGCCTCAAACTTTGTGTCTCAAGTACGATCTATGAGGCTTACACCTTGATTATTGAGGCCTCAAGGTGACTAAGGTAGGTAGATGTTCACGTTTTTATATAGTATTTATTGGGCATTTTATTATTGGCATTTTATAATGGAACATTTTTATAATTTTTATTCTTATTTTCTACTTATACATGAAAGGGAAATGGGAAGGGGAAGACACAATTACTAGTAGAGGATGATGTCAAATAATAAGAAAGGAATGACATTGCTGTGATGATAGGAGAATCAAATGTGTTGATGATTCCCTTAAAGATTCTATTAGTAGATATGTAGGAGATTTTTGTAGTGCTTTTATTTCTAACAATACATAACCATTTATTACTTATCCTTAATTTGAGAACTTATTTACTTTTACACTTTATTGATCTATTTTATGTTTGTCTTGAGTTAGAATATTCATTTTGTTAACTTGTTTTATTATAGATTCTTAAGATGGTTTATGGGTCATTTTGGATGTATTTTTGTATTATTATATTCTTTTATGTTATGTTATGTTATTGGTTTGTATTTAGACTTGTGCCTCAAAAGGTCTCAAGTCTTACACCTTGCCTTACAGATGTAAAATGCCTTGGTACTCGATTGAGCATTTTTAAAAATTGTCTGAGAATTGACATAACTAGCTGTGGCGATATCTAATTTGATGATACAATATACATAGAAAGCATTGTTGGATAAATTAATGAGAATTCTCTCACTCTATCATGCAGTATTTGTGTATGAAGTATTGATTAGTCCTTTTCTTAGCTTTCGGACATTAGATTTTGTTTGATTTTGTGACGTTTCTTTGTTGCTTTGATCGTGTATCTGTATTTTTTTGATTGCTGTTATTAAAAGACTCGTGAATAATAATTTTCTCTTTAAGCCACCTGTATTTCTTATGATGCAGTGTCTGGTGAAATTTAAACATTCTAATCAATTTCCTTCTTTAATTGTTCAGGATGCGTAAAAAGGTATTTGGATGACATTGTAACTACACTCGGGCAATGACTTCGAGCATGTTGTCTGGAGAGCGAAGGTACGTATTGGTCTTTCACTGTGAAAATATTTCATCTCATAGTTCTTTTTTACTGATGCTCCTGACATTTTGTGGGATTTCAACTAACGGATGGATGATATGCTCTTCTCCTGAAGTTATACATACATAATTCTAATATTGCCAACATGGCTTTGATCATGTGAAGCATGGAACTAACTGTTTAAATGAGAAATGCTAGGACAATTTTGTTGGCTTGCTTTTGTTACAGCAAAATTAATTTTTCTGATATTCTGAGAATGCAGTTAGGAAGTGTTGGATTAGTCATCTTTTAATATAATTTTTTTCCAATGATACTATCGGGAAATGTTCTTTTCTATTCAACATTACGTATGCGAGAGAGTTCATCTGCCATCATCACTCCGTCTTAAATGAGTTTGCATTTTATTTTTAGTGGAAAGGTTGGTTCGTGATCCTATGAATGCCGTCGAGCATTGACTCTCTGGTCTTGCTGGTGTTGTTTTTATTATTATTTTTATTAATAAATAATAATTATTATTTATTCGATAAATTCTTGACATTTTATATCTACACGGCCTCACCTCTACTGCAAAAACCAAAAAATACTACTATCGCAGAATATTATGGGAAAATTGGAAACAGGAAAGATTGGAAGGATATGCACCACTGATTATTACCTCGTATATTTGGAATTTGAAGCAAGCATTTGAGTTTCTTTGTTATTATTAGAGTAGTTATTATAGTTTCTCATGGTGGGGCTGGAGGAGGGAATTTATGATAAAGTAATGCTAGTTCTTCCTTATATCACCAGCTGAGTACGCCCATAAAAGTAATCAAGAATACATTTTTATTAGTAATTATTGCTGCATCATGTCTTCTGCTTCTCCTTCTTCCCTATTTTCCTTGAGAAGTAATTTGGAAGACAATGACCAAGAGAAGTTCCTTTCTTCACTTGGGAGGTTAGTCATGACTCTCGTGAGTATATGCTCGAGAAGATCTTGAAAAAGCGGGGATAATATTGTAGGTGTTTCTTGTGTGAGGACGCTGGCGAAAATGCGACACCCCTTTTTGCATGTACTAAGATGGCTTACAAGTTCGGGGCATTTTATTCCACAGCAGTTTAGGATTGATAGTTATGCCAAAGACCACAAGAAAAATCTTAAAATCAAAGGCAGATATAAGGTCGGTGTTTGTATCTTGTCAGTGAAAGTAGAGAACACCTTTTTTTAAATGGATGAGGAAGGCCATGAAAGTACTCCATGATGTTGATATACACACACACACACACACACACACACACACACATACATATACAAGTAAAAGAAAAACAGAAAGGGAGTAAAATGTTAGGGGGCTAACATTTGGGGAAAAGAAAAAAAGTCAATTAATGAACAAAACTTGTGTACGTTGTCTGCACTCTCCTCTACCAAATGATATATTTCTAATTTAGTGAAAACTCAAATCTTCATTTCATCTACAGAAATGGAAATAGAAAAAGAAAAAAATATTGTTGGGGTTAGGTTTAGGGTGGACTTAAGAGACTACCCTAGCCCAAGCAAGGGTCCAACACTGGGTTACCATATAGCTGGGGGTCTACCAACTGGCAAGAAGTAATTGGGAACGCTAAGGTTCAAACATGCAGATCTTTCTAAGACTGAATTTCTGGTTATGCATTATTTGCTTATTCTTTTAGCCCTTGTTTGATTCCAAAATACATTTTTCTCTCCTCTCAAACACACATTCTTCAATAAAATAAATATTGTGTGCAAACCTAAAACTTAAAACTTTTACTTAGTTTTTGACCACACATTCTCCAAAATACTATTCCAAAATGTGTTCTCATGAGAAAAGGGGGCTCAGACAGGCTCGTAGTTTATCTTATACCTTTGTGGATTTGTTTTTTTTTTTGAAGATTGCCCTGCTTTTTGATTCTTATTATTTAAATAAAAGCCATGCAATTTCACTCTCTTTTGGTTTTTATGCTCTGGACAGCTGCAAAATATTTAACCTATTGTTAGTTTAGTTTCTTGTGTATACGGCTCCTAAAGATCTCATTTCTAGATTGATAAGATCTGGTGAAGTATTTGGTGTCTTTGGGTTGTGTATTGACATATAAGCAAAACTACAGTTGTCATATGATCGTCTTATTTTATTTTCTTGTTTTAGATGGGCTTCTGCAAGAAGGGGTAGCATGACTGTTTTGGGGAAAGTTGCAGCTCCAAAACCTTTGAACTTACCCAGTCAAAGGTGATTGTTCTTCGACATAAATATTTCTGGTCTGCTTTCAAAGTTTTCGTGGATAGCTTTCTTACATTTTGTATGATCTGTTTGAAGGCTGGAAAATCATGGGCTGGATCCTAATGTGGAAATTGTTCCCAAGTGAGTAATGATTACTTTTTTATTGTTGTGTTCCCCACAATAAATTTTCAATCTTTTTCTTTCAATGGAGATGGCTAGGTACATAACTTTCCTGTTATGAGTGCTACATCATGTAGTACATAACTTCCCTTTTAATGTATTATTTATTTATTCTGCATTCTACTTTTTATGCATTGAATTGATCCAATCCTTTCTTCCTCCACAGGGGCAGTCTTAGCTGGGGAAGCCGATCTTCTTCCTCAGTTTCTAATCCATGGGGTACCTCTACAATGTCTCCAAATGCTGATGGTTGTACCAGTTCACCTAGTTATCTAAGTGGTCGCCCTTCATCTGGTGGAAGTGGTAATCGACCATCAACTTCTGGTAGTGATAGAACACATGAACCAACTGATAGTGCATGGTCTTCAAATTCTAGACCTTCTTCTGCTTCTGGGGTATTGTCATCAAATCACACTTCAGCGACATTATTGCGTCCTAGAAGTGCAGATACCAGACCTAATAACTCACATCTCTCGAGGTTCACAGAACCTGCCTCTGAAAGTTTGTTGGCTTGGGGTCCAAGTAGTACTGCAGAGAGATCGGTAATAATTCTGTAGCTGATATATTTACTTAAGGCATATTTTCTTCTTCAGTTTTCAGCACTATGTACTTTTCACACTGAATACCTAGCTGCCTGCAGTTTATCACAATAGTTAGTCATAGAATATGTTTGTCTGTGGTTTATATGCATTTCATATGGGCCTGCAAATGGTTTGAACTAGCTTATTACATTTTGAGCATAGCTTGATATTTGAATTTACTTTATTGCAAGCCTGGAGGTGGCTAACTTGCAAGCTTGCAAGTGTTTAATTTTTCAATAAATTAATTGAATTGTTTATATGAAATATCTGATTATGCATGTGAATTTTGTGCTATTATAGCCATATAATTTAATTTTATTATCATGTTAAAATATTATATATAAATGAATATATTTCTCCCATCTATAACATTCTAAGCTTTTAAATGACACGATTCCATATCGTATTAAAAGAATCCAAGGTCTGGTTTTGAAGTCCAACTGTTACCAATTTATGAAGAAAAGTGTGCATGTTTGTCATTTAATGAGAAAAATGATACCGGCCTTGTGCATGAAGGGCCTGTTGAATATAAAATAAATGAATAACTTTCTCCACTTTATCACCTAAGCTTTAGATGGGGTATTTCATTAAATCATGTGTGAATTTCTAGCTCTTTCCCCCTCTTAATTTCGTCTCAAATAGAGCTCAAGCTTGGCCTGGGATTTTGTACATTTAAATTCAAACTAAGCATCAGTTTCAGCTCCACTCTTTTGGGCCCTTACTCCCTTCTAACTCATAACACCCTGTTGAGGCTGCTGCATAATTTTCTGTCTTCTCTTTCTCTCTTTTTGCACGTTTATCCTAGTTCAGTTTGTCCTAATAATAGAATTGCATGACCTCTTTAAGGGCTGAATGTCTCAGTGCATTTGCAGGGAGTGAAGAGCTCCAAGGAAGACAGGTTCTCTTTGAGTTCTGGGGATTTTCCAACACTTAGCTCAGATAGAGACAATGGGAAGAATTCTGAACTGCAAGGTTGTTGTATGCTTATAGAATTACCATACCATTGCCATTTCCAATGCTTCTCATCCAGTGTTGCATTTGCTTCTTGGTTGTCGCCAGGGTTGTGAGTTATGTGACTTTATAGAGCCAAGAACAAAAGTATTTTATTTGTACTTTCATCAGTTCTAAATGAACTAAGTGAGGTTGTTTGCTCACAGATAATTCAAGTTTATCTTACAGATGTATGCTAATCACTTGTACTGTATATGTCCTGTACTACAGCAATTTATTAGGTTTTTGGAATGAAAATTATCAGTATATGTTCAGTGTTTTCTCATTTCCTGTGATTGGTCGTACTATTTTATGCCTCTCTACCAGTTCCTGGAAGAATGTTATCATGAATTATTCGAAATATTTTTTCTATATTTAAATGGTCTAGCTTATTGAATAAATATTATCGCCCTTATTTTTGTAGTTGGACTTGTGCATGCATGCACGAGAACATTGTGGGATACTTAACATGATTGATGTAAATACATGTATTCTAATCGTGTAGTCTACATATGACAGATCATGGCCATGGCCGTCCTAGCTCAGCTTCTGACAGAATAGCTCAGACAAAAGAGAGAACCACATCTCAGGCTGGTGTGTATGCATTTGTATTCTGAGATTAGAAAGTTATCTTTATATATCAATAATAACTTTGGTTCCTGAATATCAGATGATGCTTCTTTGAGTTTGGATGTTAGCAGTGGAACTGTTAAGACATTGAAGAGAGATGGTTCCAGAAGTGCAGAGAATGACATCCATCCTAACATGGAGAAGTGGCAAGGGGAGCCACAACATGATTTCAATGCTAATATAACCTCTCAGCATTTTGATACATGGCGTGGTCCTCCTATAAATGCTCCAGCTGGTGTTTGGTATAGAGGTCCTCCTGGGGGACCCCCATTTGGACACCACATTGCTCCCGGTGGCTTTCATATGGAACCATTCCCTTACTATCATCCCCAAATTGCACCTCCAACTCTAGCAGGTCCACAGCCAGTTCCTCCACCAGGGACCAATCTTCGAGGACCCCATCCAAAAAATGGAGATATATATAGGCCGCAGGTGCCTGATGCCTTTGCACGTCCGACTATGCCATTTCGGCCTGGTTTTTACCCTGGACCAATGGCTTATGAGGGTTATTATGGACCCCCAATGGGCTATTGCAACACCAATGAACAAGAAGTTCCATATCTGGAAATGGCTGTGGATCCCCCAGTTTACAATAGATATACAGTGCCAAGTACTCCTGATCATGGAAAGTCCCATGGCAGAGCTGGTGGGCATGGTTCTAGTGGTAAAGTATTGTCAGAACAAGTGGAAGCTGCTCATTTAGATACTAATCGAGTATCACACAAAGTTCTTTTAAAGAAACATGATGAATGGAATGAGGAGGAAGGAGAAAATTGGGGATGCAATGCGTCATCTGATGCCTCCTTGAGCCCTGGAAAAGGTGGCCAATCTGTGATGTCATCTCGGAAGAATGAGTGGGGGGCTGATGATGATACAAAAGAAGATGTATGCCCCAAGAGGACACCGCTCGGTGAGAACTCTTGCTCCAGTATTAAGTGTGGAGGTCATTCTTCAGGCATTGTCGAAGTCAAGTCGCTTGAAGGTAGGGGCAATATGAAAGTAGCCAGTGACAGTGATACGAAGAAATCAGAAATTTTATCATCTCTTCCTCCAGAAATACCAAAGCAATCTCTGGGTATTGAGGGAGGTTTATCTTTGCCAGCTATGACAAAAGAGTCAGTTTTGATGCAGAAAATTGAAGTTTTAAATGCAAAAGTTCATGCTTCTGATGGACGACCGGATGTTCCCTATTCTTCTAGTAGGGCAGAGCAAAGGAATAGGTCTCAAGTAGTTGATGCTAAGATTAGTAGTTCTGCTGTTGAAGTTGGTAATACTGGTGGTGGATTTTTTGAAAGGGTTCCTGCCTCCAATCGAGTCAGTGTTCCTGTAAGGTATAACATGTCTCAACCAACAACTGTTTTATCAAGGTGGGATGAAAATATGCTTCAGCTCTTTTTCACACTCGTATTTATTGCTAAACAACTTATTTCAAATTTTACAGGAGAACTTATCATGGCAGGCAAGGTAGAATTGACCACCATGGTAAAGGAAAGTTCACCAGTCAGGATGCTGATGGGTGGCAAAAGAAGCTTACAACTGCTGAATCTTCTAGTATGATCGTGGCTTCAAATGTTGACCCTAAATCTGATATTCATGGAAGTGGTCATAACTTTGTTGTTGAAGCTGCTCCAATTTCTGTGATCAATCTCTCAGGGATGGAGGGAGAATCTTTGACAGAACTGAATGATTCAGCTGATAATCAGGCACAGGTAATATATTTTAAGTTTATGAACTATATCTTATTTTTCTGTTTAACCGTGAATTCATGTATTTTCAGAGTGCAAAAATGACAGAACTGGCAAAGCAACGTGCCTTAAAACTACAGAAGGAAAAAGAGGAAAGGAGGAGGGAGCAGAAGGCCAAAGCTTTTGCTAAATTGGAGGAATTGAATCGGCGAACACGTACAGGTGAAGCTGAGACCCAGCAGGATGACAAAACTCAGGCAGTGAGCACCGTCCAGCATGAGCAACTACAGAAGGAAGCTGAGGAAAGGAGGGAGCAGAAGGCCAAGGCTTTTGCTATATTGGAGGAATTGAATCGGCGAACACGTACAGGTGAAGCTGATACCCAGCAGGATGACAAAACTCAGGCAGTGAGCACCGTCCAGCATGAGCAACTACAGAAGGAAGAAGAGGAAAGAAGGAGGGAGCAGAAGGCCAAGGCTTTTGCTAAATTGGAGGAATTGAATCGGCGAACACGTACAGGTGAAGCTGAGACCCAGCAGGATGACAAAACTCAGGCAGTGAGCACCGTCCAGCATGAGCAAGGAGGAACAATTGCACTTAAACCGATGGTTTCATACAATCTTCAATCATCTAGCCCTACTTCGGCCTCAGATGCTGATTTTGTTGCCGAGGGCAGAGACAGCAGTGCTAGTCAGACAGAAGAATCTGCTAATATGCTTAGAGATTTACCCCTGAAGAGCCCACAAACCCAATCCGATGATGGTGGCATCTCCAGGCAGAAGTGGATGGGCAATAAACAAAAGCAGAGTGTTTCACATAAGAATTGGAATGAAAATCAAGTTTTAAATGATGCACACGAGGAACCAAAAAGCCTTACTGATGTATCTTTGAATGATGTTAAAGCAACAGAGGTTAATTCAATCGAAGTCAGACCTAGTGGCGAGTCAAATGCAGCCAATATTGGTAATATCATTTCAGAACCCTCCATGCAGCTGAGAAGGAGAAGTAACAGGAGTAGCAAGAACAAACTCAAACTGGACAAGGCTTCCCCAGTCCCGACTTTACCATCAGTAATGCCAAAGGACAATAATTTTGCACAAGAGTCCACTGAAATCGACAAGTCCAAGACTTCTTTGCTGGGTGCTACATCTGACAGAGTGCAGGCTCCAGAGGTACACTCTTCTTTACCTAATGAAGAAGCTGACAGAAGAGTGAGCAACCAGTGGAAACCTCACCGCCACAGCAGAATGCCAAGAAATCAACAGGCAAATAGATTCATGGATAAATTTCATAGCAATGACACTGTTATGTGGGCGCCTGTGCGTTCACAGAACAAAAATGAGGGTGCAGTTGAAACGAGTGAAAAATCTATTCCTGAAACTTTGAGTCTAGCAAAAACCGATACTATTGCTCAGCATAGTTTGAAAAGTAAGAGGGCTGAAATGGAGAGATATGTTCCAAAGCCTATGGCCGAGGAGCTGGCTCAGCAGGGAAGTATTCAACCCATTACATCTTCCACCATTCCATCTGTTTCAGTTGAGGCTAGTGGTAGAACAACACCTGGATCTGCTGGCTCTGGAAGTCTGCAACCTGTCAGCCCAGATACTGGAATTGTTCGATCTGCTTTAGAGTTCAAGGAGGGGGGTGGCTGGCATAATAAACAGGTAAGAACACATGGAACGTGGCGTCATCGGAGTTCAACAGACTCATCACATGAGAAGGGTGTGCATAATGGATCATCTCTTATATCTGACCCTGGCAAGGATGTGCAGAAAATAACAGACCAAAATATATTTGTGAAGCGTGAAATAAATCCAGTAAAAACTGAAGCAAAGGCTCCGAGCAAGATCAGTCCCTCTGATTCCGGGAACATGTCCACTAGTACTGGCATAGCTGCAGTGGGCAAATCGCCTGCTGCGAAAGATCAGGGAGTGACAGGTAGAGGAAAGCAGCATTCTCCTAAGGGCCATAGTCGCATGCAAAATAATGATTATTCTGATCACGAGAATCATATTAGCAGCGAAACTGATAGAGGCTTTGTTCAATCTGCAGCTTCTGATGCGAACCAAACCGACATGACTATTGCTTCAAAAGAGAGCCATAGCTCAGGGGAGTGGGCTTCACCTCATTGGAAACCCAAATTTCAATCGTATTCAGCTAATGCTCAACATGGAAACAGAGGTTCCCAGCATAGAGTGCCTGACCAAGCTGTACGTGATGAGAACACTGATCTCAGTGAACCTCGATCTGTCTGTGGAAGTTATATGGTTGAACTACCAAATGCGGGGCATAATCATGAGTCCAGTAGAGAAAGGAAGTATGTTCCATCAAGAGGACGTCCCTATTCCCCAAACCAAGTTTCTGTTGGAGCTGGTGAACAAGCTCCTGCCGCATACACAGGTGTTCAGCATGACCGTAAATTCTCCTTGGGGTTCAGGAGGAATGTGAAGCAGAGTCAGCCAGGCCATGAATCTCATGGAGATTGGGCCTCGGGGCAAGATAACGGGCGACACAATATACCTGCTGTCAGGGGAAGACAGAGGCAGCATGCGCATTATGAATACCAGCAAGTTGGGTCATACAAGAATAGCAAACGTGACAACTTTGATGGGCCAGCAGATGTATCGAACAATTTGGGCCCAAGATAAGGGGCCAGAGTAACCCAAATCGTGGAGGAAATTTCTTTGGTCCAGAAAGCTGATAGATTCTGGTTTGTTGATGGAGAAGTGAAATCTGAAAATAGTTGTTTCCATGATGGATTGTTGAAGGCAGCCATCCAGAGAATGTGTAGTGGCTTTGATTAGGCAAGATTTTCAGGTATGGACAGCTTGATTTATTACCATGTTTAAATTTTATTTACTACAAAATCAGCTAGTTTTTGAGTGATGTCACACGTGCTTTGAACAGGAACAGGACCGGGTTCTGGTTCACTGCCCTAGGTGGAATGTTGCTTGTTTATACGAGGAAATCATGTGATTTTTTCCACTTAACAATTGTAAGTCATTCGGATATTGAAATGTGGTTTCAGTTTATAACCTGAGGAGGGTATTAGGTAGTCGTGCAATTGCCTCCCTGTATAGTAGCAGGCCAAAGCATGAACTTGGAAGGTATTTTGTTATTTTACCATATTTTATTGTAACTTCCTTAATTTTAGCACGATAAGTGATTGGTTGTGATCCATTGCTGGTGTTTTGAGCTGTCATTCTATATGGTCAAGGCAAAAATGCGGTATATGATTTTTACCATTAACAGTTTAAAAGAGAAAATAGATGATGGGAAGGGGCTGCAGCTGTAGCCTGGCTCGAATTTCCTGCGTTGAGTCAGTAAGGACATGCTTGTAACATCATATTAAATATGTTGGTTACAATTTTTATCAATAATTCAACTAAGTATTTGATTAATTTTTATCGAAATTTATTAAAAATCTAATTTTTAACTAAACCAATCATATGCTAAGTAAATTGGTTTCATTCCAGTAAATACGAGT